CACTAATAGTCTGTCGTCAGAACTGCGTTTTGTGATGACAGGGTTCACCAACGTGAAAGTGAGGTTAAAATTTAAGTAGGAGAGGTTATTTAAGTTGCATCATCAACCCATTTGAATCCCAGACCCACAGATCCTCATAGTATTACATTAATTGATTTTGTTTAGGCTCATTTTAATAGGTTGTGCTTTATTTACGGATTCACAGTTCCTTCATGGTTTTAAAAATGCATCAGCGATTTACACTTTTCACATTTCTGTTTGTAATTTATAAATAATTGATGCAAAGGCATGTAGAATTCATAAAATTTTTCAAGGACTATTATCTGATTGTTTATTGACATTTTTTAACAGAAGCTGCAGAAAAGTCAAATTCTGTTTATTAAAAGTATTATTCCAAAATTTTCCATGAATATATTTGCTAATAAAAGTGATTAAGCAGAGCCCATTGCTTGGCCAAAGTTTTGTTTATAAAAATCATTATTTATCTGAAAATAAGTATTTTCACAAGATAAAAGAATGTTAATTGCCCCATTAAAACGTATATATTTAATTTGGTTCTAGTTGTCATTATTATCTAATTAACTTTCATTATTTTTAAAGTTTTATTTAACGGTACTTTTATAAATGGAATATTTATCTCAGAAGTTACTAAAATAGTGTTTGGATCGTATCAATTTGTGATAGTATATTAAAAAATATTATAAAAGTTAGTATACAGGATTAGCAACACAAGGAAGTAAGAGTTTTCTCGTGACACTGACTCCGCCAGGCAAACAACTGTTGTCTTGAGTAGTATGGTCCTCTATAATAAGAAGCTATAGAATTTTGGCAGTTGATTTTTTTGATTTAATTAGTTATTAACAAAATAAATAATAAACAAAATACTAGAGGCATAGAAAAACAGTGGAACGAAATGAAGACATCTATTACCACAATTTCGCATGAATACCTAAAATCAAAAAGACAAAAGAAGCAAGAATGGATGACAGATAAAATATTGCAGATGATGGATGAGCGAAGAAAATTAAAAGGTTATGACAACGAATACAAAAAGTGGCATAAGACTATACTAAAGGAGATAAAAGGAGTAAAAGAAGCATGGCTGATGAAGAAATGTATGAAAGTTGAAACAGTACAACGCAAACATGACGATTACCACATGCACAAAAAAATTAAAGAGGTACATAATAACAGAGAACAACGCAATACAGGCATAGTTGTAGACATTGAAGGCCAAATTTTGACTACCATCGAAGATAAATTGCGAACATGGAAAGAATAATATGCAAGAATTATTCGGAGATGCAGTTCGAAGTCCGACCGAAATAAATAATCCCCACGGCTCAGAAATAACAAACGAAGAAGTAACTATGGCCATTAAGCGGATTGAAGATGGGAAATCACCAGGGCCTAATCAGGTGCATGGTAAAATTTTAAAGCTATTAGAGGCACACCAAATCACAGCTCTTACGAAGCTATTCAACAACATCTACGAGACTGGTTACTTACCAAAAGTACACTTATTCCATAATAATCCGTGTTAGCTATCTGGTGGCTGATCTTGCTTGGCCAATCCTGGAATGTGTTTCTTTGCTACTTCCTACTTTTGATGTTTATCTGGACTCCCAAGTATTTAAAATTGTCTGTTGGTTTTATAGTTCCCATTTCGATTTGTAGGCTTTCTGGTTGTTCTCCTACAACTAAGTACTCAGATTTTTGTATATTACTTATAAGTCCCCATTTGGTGTACTCATCTTCCAGTTTTCTAAGCATGTAGCTTATATCACTCTCGTCTTCAGCTAGAATGGCTTGGTCGTCAGCGAATTGTATCGTGTACAATCTATCATCTCCGATTGTAGATGCCCATATCTCAGCATTTTCTTCTCCACAGTGAGAGTGCCTTATTTAGATATATTTTGAAGAGTATAGGTGCTATGCAGCAGCCTTGCTTTAGGCCCTTACTAATAGGAATTTCTCTAGTGAATTTATTTCCAGTTTTAATGTTTGCCGTCATATTTTTGTAGAGCTGTTGTACTGCTTGTATATTTTTTTTGTTTATTCCTTGTTTTTCCATTGCTACTCAAGCATTGAAAGTGGTACACTATCGTATGCCTTTGTCAGATCTATAAAGACTATATGAGTTGAAAGGTTATTTGCTAATATTTTCTCGATAACTTGCTTTAGAGAGAATATACTGTCCATACAGGATCTGCCTGCACGAAAGCCATTCTGTTCTTCTACATCTGTCATCTCTTTTTCCATTTTATTTTTTATTATTTTTCCATACAGTCTTGAGAGTGAATTTATGACACTTAGCCCCCGGTAGTTTAAACTATGCTTTCTATCTCCTTTTTTGTAGATGTTGTTAATATGTGCTTTTGTCCACTCCGGTGGTAATTCGTGTCCAGTGTAGAATGAGGTGAAGACACCAGTATTACGCCAGTAATTCCCGTAATACTTGTGGGCTATGTTTTAATAATTCATTTGGTATATCTTGTGGTCCGCATGACTTCCGATTTATTTAGAGTTCGTATTGCATTCTAGACTTCCTGTACTGTTATTTCATCGTCTTCACTGAATTCCACTTCATATGTTGTTGTACTGATGTTCGTGAATTGAGGTCTTGTTTCAGTCAAAAGTTGTGAGTAGTGTTCGATCAAAGATCTTTCTTCTATCAAATCTATTCTACTATTTCTACTCGTTTTTTTTTTTGTTTGTTCTCAGATTTTTTATCGTTTTCCATGCTTCTCTTGATCTTGTTGACCCTATATATTTGTTGAGTTCTTCGTATTTACTTTCCCAGGAAATATTGTTTGCTTTAGTTACTAAATTTTTTACTTCTCTGTTTGATCTTGCATATGTTTGTCTATCATCTGGATCATTTGTTTGCAGCCACTTTTGATATGTTTGTTTCTTGTGTACTGCATTGGCGATGTCATTTGTCCACCACAATGGAGTATTCTTTTTGTTCTTTTGGATTGTGCCGAGCTTTTCGTAAGCTGCTTCATTGATTTTATTGATTATCTCTTTATAGGGTATCCCCGATTCCAGGGGTTTTGATTGAGCTAGTTGGTTGTCATTTTGATGTAGTAGCCGAAGTCGATACTGTAGGTAACATTTTGATCTTACCATATAGTGGTCAGTTCCGCAATCCAGTCCTCTTAATACTCTTATGTCTTCAACGTTTATGTGTGTTTCTTGTTTTGTGATGACATAATCTATAAAACTGACTTTGTGTTTCTTACCAGGTATACTTACGTATGTTTTTATCTTGGTAGAATCCGTTTAGGATTTTCAGAGAGTGCTGTTCACAGAATTCGATTAAGTGTTCCCCATTTTCATTTGTTTTAGCGTCACCATATTTTCCTACGACTTTGTCATTTATTTTTGTTTCTGTCCAAGCGTTAAAATCTTCCAATAACACAATTTCTTTGCGGTTATTTATATTTTCAATAAGTTCCGATAAAGTTTCGTAGAATATTTATTTAGCTGCTTTTGATGCATTTTCTGACGGAGCATATATTCCAATGATCTGGAGGTCGTGCCCTTTCCACGTAATAGATACTCTAATAATTCTCTCATTGATCTGCTCTAAGCTTTTCAGGTTTCCTTTTAAGTATTTTTTTATTAATATTGATACCCCTGCTTGTGCTCTTTTGTCTCTCTCTACTCCACTATAAATATGTATAAAACCTCCTATGACTTTTTGCTGATAGACGAAAAATCGATAGGTTTCACTAGAAATACAAAATATTTCTTACAGCATTGGAGAACAAGACAAGAAATAATACAATTTCCATAGCTATTCTGTTAAAGAAAATTAGACCGGAGAAATAAAGAGAAGGATACGGTTGGCTTCGGTATCCTTCGGGAAACTGTCCTATATACTGAAAAATAGAAAATACCCCCAATATTTAAAAACAAGAGTCCCTAATCAATGTATACTTCCTGTCCTCACCTACGGTTCTCAAACTTGGACGTTTACAAAGAAAAACATGAAAAAATACCAAAGACCCAAGATCCATGGAAAGACGAATGATGAACATAAGGTTATCAGACATGAAAAGAAATACTTGAATCCGCAACAAAACAAAAGTGACCGATGTATCAACGCAGATAGCAAAACTTAAGTGAAAGTTCTCTGGACATACCATAAGACAGAAAGACGATAGATGGAATAAGATGACTATATACTGGAGACCATATAGTTACAATCAAAAAAGAGGAAGGCCACAAATGAGATGGTCAGATGACTTGAAGTAACACGCAGGCTCCAAGTGGAAACAAACTGCCTACAATAGAGAGATGGAAGAAGGAAGAGGAGGCCTTGTCCAAAATTGGACAGCAAGGGCTGTATAAATAGATAGATAGATTCTGTTATATGCGTGGTTTTTGCTCGTTTAACGACAAAATAAAGTAGTGCATCAGACAATTGTGAGAATTGGACCTATAATAATTGATAATTTACCCTAAAATTTACAAAGCTCATCAATGGTTTAAGTATCATTTTAATTTCGTGTATTTTATATTTAATTTGTAAACTTATTTATATAAAAAATGTTCGTGGCTCGAGGCCTACAAGTTCCGTATAGCAAATAAATATATCATAAAGACCCACAAGTACTCCGAATATAAATATCTCGTCAATCTCCACACAGATGTTAAAGTAAGCTTTGTTTCGATAGTTCCCCTTCCAGACCCTTGTACATTTATCTCTAATTACCTTGTTGTGGTTTTAGTAGATATTCTACACTTTAAAATTTTTATAAAATAAAAATGTTGCGGCACTCGGTACTTCACGTCGCTTTCGATAAATAATTAATTAAACCGTAACGGGTCATTTTAAACTTATATCCATTACGACTAGTTTTTAAAAGTAGCATTGATAAGAGTTAACTAGTGAAGTCTGAACTGCAGCTACCTTTATCATTTTGAAAGTATTCATCCATTCGTTGATCGGAACTAGTGAAATTGTAACGCGCGTTTTGATTGCTGTGACAATGAAGTTGTTGGATTTCTCTAAATTTAAATCCAGGATTTTTCAATATTTGGCGGCGCTCGCAGGTGAGTTTCTTCTTCTATTATTCTATTACTTATTACTGACCATGAATATCATATATATGCAAGGCAAGTTCGCTAATGATTGTGAATTTGCAAGTAATTATTACTGTTTATGTGAACTTCGCAGGTATAAATTAGTTAGTCGTTTATTGGTACTTTTCAATTTAAAATAATTAGCCTATTGAATACAAATCAGATTGCTACTATTTTATATATGAAGGGTATAGGGAAAAAATTGTGAATGTCACAAAATGTAAATTTCAAAAATTGTAAATTTATAACAATAAAACTCTGAAAACTTTGTTTTTCAAACTTCCACAAAATTTATTTTAATCTCTTATCACTACAGCTGTTTCGGCTGATTGACTTTCTTAAGTGATCTATTTTTAACATGCGTTTAGATTTTATAGTCTCTAATGAAATAGGTTGAGGAGGGAAGAACTGTTTGTCTCAAATTGGTCATTCAGAATTATATCTGTGTTTTTTAATTTGTTGATTTCCATAGATTCTAACAAGGATAGCTTAAGGCCTTTATTTTGAATGTGGAGAATTTTAAATTCGTCATTCATCTGTTTTTCTATTCTATTGAAAGCCCTTTTATGTTCTGCTATTCGTTTATTAAAGTTTCTACCAGTTTGACCGATGTAAATTTTTGGGCAGTCGCTACATTGAAGTTTGTACACACCACTGTGTAAGTGTTTTTTATTTTGGCTCTTGTTGTTTTTGATATATTTGTCTAGGTTGTTATTTGTTCGGAAAGCTGGTGTTATTCCTTTCTTTTTTATGTATTTGGCAATTTTTGTTGTTATTTTGCCTGTATATGTAATCGAGCAGAAGGTACTGGGTTTTTTTCTCTGGTGGTGGAAATACCAATTTTAGGGCTTTCTTGTGTAGTTTTTGATTTAACATTTTATTAATTGTTTGTTCGTTGTATCCGTTGTTTACTGCTATTTGCTTGATGATATTTAATTCTGTCTCAAAGTTGTATTTTGACATCGGAATTTCTGTTAATCTATGTATCATACTATGATATGCTGCCAGTTTATGTTGTGTTGGATGGGATGATGAATTGTGTATAGTCGTGTCAGTATGGGTAGGTTTGTGAAATATGGAGAAGTCATGTTTGTTTTTAAATCTGATCATTTTTAAATCTAAAAAGTTTATGGATTGATTTTGTTCTGTTTCTATTGTAAATTCAATATGACTATGAAGTGAATTAATATACGATAAAAATTGATCGAGTTAACTGTTAGTTCCTGTGAACATACCAGTACGTCGTCTACTATCTGCCAATATAAAAACTGTTTGAATACGGGATGTTTTGAAATCTTTGTCTCTAGATGATCCATAAAAATATCTGATAGCAATGGGCTTAGAGGATTGCCCATTATAAGTCCTGCACTGTTATTTCTATATATTTGATTATTACATTCAAAGTAGTCCTGGTTTATGCAAACTTCAAGAAGATGTAAAATTTCAGATGTAATTAGTGGATTTGTACTATTTTGGTCTAAAAGGTTTTTTATTAGAATAAAAGTTTCTGTAGGAGGGATACTATGAAAAAGATTTTTTACGTCAAATGAAATTTATCTGGAGTTGTTAGGTAATTGAAATTGTTAAGTAAATTTATAAGTTTGATCATTCGTTGTAGGTACTGTGTGTATATATTAAATTTTCATTTGCGTACTTTTGCCCCCAAAAATAGGGCAGTAATACGCAAGTGCATATTTTTGCCCTAAAACTAAAATATATATAACCCAAAATAAAAAAGACGATAGGCGTTTAAAAGAAACCAATCATTATTGAAAAAAAAAACAAATGTAAAATACAAAACTGTATTTAATTCTAAAAAGCTGTTTTTATTGGCTTTGAAAGTTTTTAAAACAATATTTCAAAATTTCAAAAATACAGCATCTTCCGTTGTCTCACGAAACACGAAATGTTGTTGGTCAGTCGCTAAAAAAATACGCCTTCATAACCATCATCATTTACTTGGCAGACTTTGGCGACAAATAATCTGTATGATTTTTTTCCAACAACCTTTACTACGTCATAGTCATCAGGTATAATATTTGGTACATCAATGTCTTGCCCTTCATCGTTATCGGAAAAATGAATGTCACAAGAATCAATACTTTCTTGATAGGAGAGTGCTGCTGATTCATCAGATGATGATTCCTCGAAAACTTTCCTTTTGGCAGCACGAACTTTAGCACTTTGAGATTTCTTTTGATTCTTTAGTAATGCTTTCCTCTCCTTTTTTTCTGCTTCCTTCTTTTCTTCTTGTTTCCTTTTTATCTTAATTTTTAGGAAGGGAATAATGTCTGGAGATAAAGTTACCAACAGTTCTGATGTTTATTATGGCTGGGCCTTTAAAACTGGATAAAAACATTACCTTCATCGTCTAAATCTTCACCTAAATCTTGCTGTTACTTCCGCTGGCATGAAATCTATACCCAAAAAATATTTGTATCTAGTAGATAGATTCCCACTAACCATAATTCTCGTTTGTAATTCTTCTTTTATATTCTCGATAATGTGATAATCATAGCTTTTTTATTATAAAAAGTGTTTACATATTTCTCTGTTTGTAATTTAGTATTTCTTCATTCTTTTGTATGTGTCATGTCTGGTGTCCCTAACATTGTCAATAATTCTGGCACTGTCCTCAATCATGTTCAACTTCAACGTAAAAAAAGTACTGTTACAAGTCTAAGATAAATATAAACATAAGTAAATATAAATATAAAAGTTATTGGACAAATATATACAGGAAAATAAAAATATAAAACAAAACTGAGTGTATTAACACTTTAGGTGCCAAAAGACTAGCAATTGAAGAAAATTGGCGGAAATGAGATTACATGAAATATAAAACAACCGTCGTCTACACAATTGATTACAAAAAAAATTGAGATGGGAAATATTTATCCCAATAAACTATAACGCTTTCTGCTTTCACATAAATTTCAGTGGGATAATAATTTCCCGCTAATAAAAAATTTGAAAGTTATACATACAACCATATATTAAAAATCGCAAATACTTATTCTTGGCAATTGTATGTTACTACGCTTTAAGATGTGTTTATTATAAAAAACAATTTTTTTGAAGTGAGAAATATTTAACCCAATAAACTATAATGCTTTACTTAACAGAAATCATGTTACTTCTCTTTTCTTTTTTTTTCGTACTGTATAAGCCACATCGACGATATTTACTCATCATAATGATCTTCGCTGGAGTATGATCACCTACATTTGAAAGCCTAACAGAATTTTCTAAACTTGCGGAACCATTAGAACTTTTACGTTCTCTCTCTTTTGTTGCAACTGGAGCGTGCCCCATTTTCTTTCTACAGCTGAAATTACCAATTAATTCTTCTTCTTCTTCTTTGGGTGCCGTGTCCGTATTCAGACGTTGGCCTTCATCATGCTTACAATTTCCTGAAACCTTTCTCTGTCGGCTGCTGCGCGACCAATTACTGCAACCAATTAATTGGTTGACTAAAATTGATCGGTATTTCAGTTGTGATAAAGGCTTCTTTCGCTCTTCTTTCATTGTAATCTTATATCCTATGTAACTGTTTACAACGCAAGTCTCAAAGAGGTAATAAAAAATCTTTATCCACCATCTACGTGATTTTCTATTTACGCAGTAGAATGACATATTATGGTCAAAACATATCTACGCACATAATCAGAAATCAGGAAACACATGATTAAAGATGAAGGAGACTTTTGTGAGGTTACAGAAGGAAGTTAGAGAAGATGGGGCTCCAAATCAACGAAAACAAGACGAAATATATGTATACGAGCCGCAATAACCAAAGCAGAGACAGAATCGGTCAAAACATCGCTATCGATGACTTTAACTTTAAGCGCGTTATAGAATTCAAGCAACTTGGAACAACAATAACTGAAGACAATAACGGACCACAACAAGTAAACAACAGGAATCAGGCCGACAACAGATGTCTTTTTGCCCTCCAAAACGTTATAAAATCGAAACAACTAACAAGACGTACGAAGATACAGGTCTATATAACAATCATATGACCCGTTGTGATGTATGGAAGCGAAACGTGGACGATAACAAAAGCAATCGAAGAGAGACTATGTGTTTGGGAAAGAAAAATCCTAAGAAAGAATCTTTGGTCCTGTGCAGGATGAAGCATCAGGACAATATAGGATAAGAACTAACAGAGAGCTCGAAGAACTTTACCCAGATGCCAACATCATAAAAAAAATAAAGTCTGGAAGACTCGAATGGGCAGGACATCTCAGAAGACATTCTGACGAAAAAACAGTAAGGACTGGTGTGAGATGAAGTTCCAACTGGAAATAGACTATTAAAATAATTATAGCAAGAGACCTAAGCACTATGGACGTGAAGAATTGGATAGGGGTAGCTCAAGACAGAAAACAGTGGAGGCATGCTGTGGAGTCGGCTAAAACTCACGAAGGGGTGTAACGCCACGGAATAAGTAAGTAAGTTTCTCCTTTTTAATTTCTACACAGTCTAGAAATCACTTCAGATGAATCATGCAAAGAAGATATTACAAAAACACTTTTAGTACCACGGTCTTTTCCACATCACCTGCATGTGTAAAGTCGTAGTCACCCTGATGCATTTCTTTGTCAGGCTTTTGGTATTTAGGATAGTCTTTTTTATTTTGTCTAATTGTTCCTCGGCAAAAGGTATTATCGATGAGCAACGTCACAACAAACCTTATGCTGCTAAAAAAATTATCAAACTATCGACAATAATTTTTTCCGCAAAACTTCGACAATTTGAGAACAACTTTTTCTCCTAAGCCCATTCCATCATTATTATCTTTCCTTCCTCCTCTATACACGTCAAAATCTAGAATGAAACCTGTTATAATGCAACAACAAGCCAAACTTTAAATCCCCTTTTGATGGGCTTCACAGGAAGGTATTGTTTTATTGACGAGCTTCCTGTGAAACCAATTATCTATTGGTATATTCTGCGATGGGGCA